CTGGCTAAATATGAAGCAAAAGTTCCAGATTGGTGGGACCTCAGCCATACGTGCCTGGCCTAGCTCCTCCTGAGCAGCAGCTGGAGGCTGGGGAGTGGACTGGGCTGAGCACCTCTCCTCCTGTCTGGGGTGGAGGGGGGGGCTTGGGCATCTGTGCAGATAGAGCCAAGATAGTAGGGCTGTGCGAAGCTTTGGGTGCTGATTCCGATTCAGTGGAGATTCGGCTTGATTCAGCGGCCGAATCTCCAAATCCAAATCGATTCAGGAGACTAATTAAAAGGTCTGGATTGATTCGAAGCTCTCTGAATTGATTTGGAAAAGATTCAGAGAGCTTCAGCGATTCAGGCAGCCCCTGCTCGCTGGAGCTGGCCCAGGACTCTGTGCTGGTAAGTAGAGGGTGGGGAAGGGGAGGCTGGAGGAGGGCGAGGGGACCGTGTGGGGACGTCTGCCCCAGCTCCTGACGCTTTTTTTTTAAAGCCCCCACTCACCGGCTGTTGCAGTGGCCTTAGGGCTTCTGGGGGCTCATGGCAGAGCCCCCCCCCGGTGCAGTGCAGGGCAGGGGGGATCGCCCCCTGCCGGGCAGAAGCCAGGGAGTGGGGCTTTTTTTTTTTTTCTTTTTCAAAGAGCCAGGAGCTGGGGCAGGCAGGGCAGTTGTGTGGGGGCTGGGACAGAGGCAGGGAGAGCCGGGGGGCTCGTGACAGAGCCTGTCACACAGCGTGGGGCAGTGGGGACCACCCTCCCGTCTGGCAGCAGCTGGTCAGTGCAGCTTAAAAAAAAGCAAAAAAAAAAAGGTGGGAGAGTGGGCAAGGGATGGGGCTGATTTGGCTGATTTTTGATGGTGGCCAAATCTCCGAATCAATTCAGGACAGTGATTTCAAATCACTGAATCAAATCATTGTCCCCCGAATCAGCCGAATCTGAAGTGAATACTAGTTGCTTTGCACAGGCCTACAGGATAGGTGCCTGTCCTTAGCAGTGTCATGTTCTGCTGCTGGGGCTGTTGCTGAGGCCCAGGATGCACGTGGCAGCCCAGGTGGCTGTGCAGTGTGGCCATGGAGCAAGGGGGACACTGCACAGGGGCCACTCCCAGCCAGGTCCAGCCTTTGTGCTTGGGGGATGGAGCCTGGCCATGGGCCTTCATGCTGTCCCATCCTGCCATCAGGGCTCTTGGGATCGGCAGGGTCAGCAATGTGTGTGCATGCATGTACATACGTTGCTTCCTGTCCCGGATTTCCTTACACCCATTCTGGATTTCCTTCAAAATAATATGGTCACCCTACCCATAACGAATCTGGAATCTGATTCTTTTATTACCTCTTTGAGACATATATTGTTTTGTGAAGCCTAGCAGGAGTAAACTACCATCCAGAACAGAGTCTTTTGACAAAAGTACGAGGGAAACCTTGTTTTCTGCTTCTCAGTACTTCGTGCTTAGTGGCTAGATCTTACACCTGTTCGGCAGAAAGTCTATGTGCCACTTTTGATAGAGGGTGGGTTTCACCTTATATATGGGACATATAGGGCCTGAAAGTTTTGAAAGTAACATGGAAGACAACAGCAATGTATTATATAGATCTTATTCTTATTTTTACACATATGCCATATATGCCATTTATATGTAAAAAGAAAAATAAGATCTATGTTATGTATTACTGTTGTCTTCCATGCCAGAGGAGGCTGCATTTCTTTCTTTGTGTGTGCATTTACAGTTTGAGTTACTTAGGGTCTTAGTTACAGTTTAGGGTCTTTCAGGCCCTATATCATGTAAAATGTTACTGTAACTTCTTAAGATTAGCAGAGGTTGTAAGCCTACTTACATTTTCACTACTATATCATTCATTAAATACTTAAGGAAGGGGCTACACGGTTCTGGAAATATCACTTGATTCTCACATGAAGGGTAGACATGATACAGTATTTTTCACCTGCCCAAATATTGCAGTTGGGTATCCTTGTTTGTAGCCTACCCCATCTGAACAGTTTTTCATTTTTCTTCTATGACCTGTCAGTATTGCTGGAGGTTGCTTTAAAAGGAAACTTTTTTCCCAAGAAGTTTTATTTTTTTTCTTGAGCTGCTTGGAGCTGTGTGGGTGTTTTTTGGTGGGGTTTTTTTTTGTTTGTTTGTTTGTTTTTTTTAGGATGAGCTCCTTTTTCATCTCTATATCCTAGCTGTAAATTATTATTGGTGTTGATAAGGGGATAAATGTTAAAGGGCTCACAGTTTACGCATCTTGAGACTCTTATCCTTTCCTCATATTTTCTCTGAAGCAGTGTATTTGTTGTTTGGGTGTTTACTGTCTGTAGAATTTAACCTCCTTTTTACAAATTTCCATGTCCCGTAACCTATTCGGAGGAGGTATTATAAGGAGAATAACATTGTCACAGGACACTATGGAATATTCACCTTTTGTCCACTAAAGAATACCTTGCTGGCAGAAAGGGAATGAGGATTAATGGTTAATACAGAGGACTGCTTTTCTGCAAACTCATTGATTTACTCTCTCATTGATTTACTATATAATTTTTGTTCTAGTCACTTCACTTAGTGCCTCAGTTAAGCCACCAATAAAACATGCTTATTAAGCAAACTGGGGTTATAAAGTTGTAATTAATGTTTGAAATGCTTTGAGCTGCTTAGGGCCCAGTATTTCATGTGGTGTAACCCTCAAGAAACTTAAACTTCAGCAAGGATAATTATTAACATTAATATCAATACTCTGAACCTAAGTGGGTTGGGTGTAATTTTTAAAAAGTTTTAGTTCACAGGCTTTGTTTTAGCACTCAGACAACATTTTCAAATAATTTGCATATCAAGTTCTGGAGGGTGCATGTGCAAATCAGGTAATTGCATGCAAGGTGGTTAATTAGGAGCATCTGCTTGCGTGGGATGTGGTGCTCATATCCCATAACTTGGCATGCTTATTCTTTTGTGCCTGTTTCCTTTGTAAATCTGATTCAAAATGCCTTGAAATACTTCGGTGCATATAGTTTATTGCAATAAACATGAAAAGTCCAATGTATTCAGTACATGCATCTGTTTCATTTAGGATGTTGAAGATAAGCTTTGGTATTGTACCTTTTTGGGAAAAGTCTGGTAGCATTTAATAAAGGTAAAACCCATTAATTTTCCTAGTTAAACTGCCAGTAAATTTAAGACTTAAGTCTTAAAATTTTTAGGCCAGCTTGAAAAAAATCTCATCCTATTTCCATTAAAGAGAAACAAAGTGTGGTCTGACTGGTGGTTTTGGTCTAGCCTGGAATTTGAGAGAGCCTGGTTTGAATTTTTGCTATTACAGGCTTTTCAGATGACTGTGGACAGCTCATTTTGCTACTCTATTCTTCAGATAGATGGATTTTCTACCCACCTATAAAATCTGGATCACAGTATTTACTGGAATGCTGTGACGGTTATGGGGTGGCGCCTTCAAATTATAGGAAGTTGGGAGCAATATGAGCACCTATGATATCTAATATAGATAAACCATCTCAACCTCTACCACCTTTGTAAGCTTTTGGACTATCCTGTAGAACAGCGTTTCCCAACCTTTTTCATCCCATGGCACACTTACACAGCCTCTCTCATCCCATAGCACACTGGCTGGACGCAGAGCTGGGGGGTGGGAGTGGCGTGTGACCGGATGTGGAGTGGTGGCAGCATGGGGCGGCAGTGGCAGCACTGGTGGCACTGGTTGGAGTTATGCCCTGCCAGAAGCCATGCCCCCACAAGATCCCACACTAGTGGTGATAATGTCTGACAGCACACCAGTTGGGCAATGCTGCTATAGAATCCTATTGTGTGATTTCACTTTTAAGTCTCAAAGGACAGTTTAAAAGAAAAGCTACTGACAGGTGACAATTTTCCATGAAAGTGTCTTCTATGAAGTTCTTGTATTTTTTACAATTGGTGTAGGGAGCAACAGACTTGCCAAAATCCACAATGGAAATCCCTAGCAGGGCTTGGGTTCAGTGTTATAGCCACAGTACCAGCCAATTTTCACTTATTTCAGGACAAAACTACTAATGTGATGAAATGCATGTTTACTCACATAATTGAGTTGGTACATTTTTGCATTGGAACAGCAATTTTTCATCAGTAGACTTTTTTGAAAAAAAAACAACACAAAAACATTTGTTTTTAGAAAATCATTTTTTTTTCCCTCCAGCAAATAGAAATGTGGGTTGTTTTGTGTGTGTGTGTGTGTGTGTGTGTGTGTGTGTGTGTGTGTGTGTGTGTTATGAAAACCAAAATAAAAGAAAATTATCTCTTCTGTAGATGGGAAATGAATATTTCCCCCTTTACCTGTATTTTCTAACTAGTCCTGATACTGTGTTCATTACTGTGGTATCTGAATGCATCATTTTACAAGAATGCATGTGCAAGGGTAGCCAGTGATATGTGTTTGCATTACTGTGTTCCAGGGATTCGGATTACTGGGGTGGTCTTTTAAATAATAATGCAAAACCTGACTGTGTACAGTGACTCACACATGACTGAGTGCATACAAATGAATCATGAATGGAAACTTGGAAAATAACTGCCTGCATTTTAAAGTGTCTCTCTACCTTTACTAGACATTTAGTTTACTTGTTTGGAAATTAGAAAGCTGTCACAATTAGCATATTTTTAAACAAGCTGTTAGAACCTAGGTTGTATGTATTTTTTTTTTTTTACTAGTGGAGAGATTATCCTGTGTTTTATTTTATGAAGGAAGAAAATACTATGCAATAAAAGATACCAGCTCAGTTAATAGAAGAAAAGTCCCAATTTATTGGAACAAGTGTTGTGCTGCTATTGTGATGCTGTTGTTTTATCTTTGTAACCATGGGTGTGATGTAATTGATAAAGAAAATGTTACTAGATTTGTAGGATGACCCAGACCAAGGGGCCACACTGGGGTGGGGCTCAGGTGCCGCACTCTCATTGGGTGTTTTGCCTCCTTATCTCTACGTACCACCTGCCACAATTTGATGTTAATGAAAAGGATATCGGAAGGTGGTACCTGACTGTCGTAGGGTACATTTCGATGGGCGCAGGTATGGGCGTCTTCTGTGGGGTTCTGCCTCCGCCATTACTCCACCCCTTTCCACTTAGGTGTTTCTGTGATGGTGTTGGGGTACAGACATAAATGAGCGTGTCTACCATCTGTTGACAGGCCTAGCTTTGGCCTTGCAGTACATGTCTGCCTCTTCCGCAGGCAGCCATGGCTCTTCAGGGTTTGCCCCCCAGTCACAATTCTAATTCACAGGCAAGCCTGTATTGGGCTGATCCCTGTGGGTAATTTGGGGCCATAGATGCTATGAACCCTCTCTGAATCCCTTGCTGGGACTTGGCATCCACAGGGTGGTCAGATTCCTGTCATGGGAGCCAGAGCTGGGTTGGTCTCTGAGATGTCCTTGGCTCCGATGGAAGGAAGAGGCATGGCCCGGTACCTCTTCTCTCCCACGGCTGGTGCTGCTCAACAGGGGAAGTTCTGGGTTGACTGACATTGGGGCTCAACATTGGCAGCAGCTATGGCCTCCCAGATCTAGGTGGTGCCGGGCATGCTGGCCACTTGCTCTTGGCTCTGTCTGGGCTCCAGGTCCAGGTGGAGCCTGGCTTCCTGCTTTTAGCCCTACCTGGAGGATGGGTGTATGGGGGGGGGGTCCATCTCTTGCTGCTTCCCTATCCTGCCTGGGGGGGCCTGGATTCCCATGGACCATGAGGTGCCCTGGTGATTTGTCACCCTGGTGAGGGTGGGGCTGGGTCAGATCCCTGTTACATGCTTAAATTAGAGATCTGAATGAAGAGGCCAGTCATCTTTGCCTTTGGCTGCAGACCTATGGTGAGCAGTGACGCATGATTTATAACCAGCCCCTCTTTCTCCCTTCCACCCTCCCTCTCCCAATATGAAGGGGAGGGTCTAATGGCATGGCATTTTCCATAAGGGATGCTCAACTGTGGAAATAAACTAGTACAACCACACACAACAAAATGGTCACGTGGTTTAGAGATGCAAGAAAAACAATTATGAAAACTACTAGGATAACAACTGTTCAACCTAGCTACCTGTAAGAGTTTTGGGGTGTAACCACTCAATAGTAGTAATTTCCTCCTTCCCCCCAACCCCCCCCCCCAAAAAAAAAAAAAGAAAGAAAAGAAAAAAGGTGGGCGGAGAGAGAGAGACAGGCTTTCATGCATTGAATATCTGCTTTAGTCTCATTGAAGTCCACGGGCAGTTAGCACATGTTAAATACACCTCTGAACCAAGATACACTAATGCTAGTGTTTTGGTGAATTGGGGCCCTACTGTCTCTTTGAATTGGGTGCTAGAGTGCAAGCAGCAAGCACAAGAACTATGTATTTAGAACAAGTGAACAACAGAACTGGAGAACCAACTGTTGATTTAAAAAAAACCAAAAAACCACACACCTGTGCAAGCTGAGTCCCATTCATAAAAACATTGTTAAACTACAGGTTGCTACAGCAGGAGAGGCTTTGAGTTACTTCTCTAGTTACTCACATCTTTGAGAGATTGAACATAGCAACTCAGCACCAAACAAAGCCCTCCAGGGCTGCAATTTGGCAGAAAGAGGAGCACAAACACCCCTGGTTTGCAAAATTAATTTGAGTAGCATACTGGCAGCCTTGAATAAACTACAGTTTAAAATGCATCTGTACGTCTTGCCTACCGTTGATTTAGTCACCGTATGGCTGGTGGAAGCAAAATTGAAAAGCCACCTGCCTTGTCTAGCAGGAGGTTCAGTGAATAGCTTTCCATGCGCACAACACCAGAGCAGGTGTGCTGTGTGTTTTGCTACAAGAATATGGTAAAGGAACAGCGTGGCTCCTGCAACTAGGGTTTATACCAGGTAGAAAGCTCGAATGCAGGACAAGAAAAACTGGCTCTGCAGCTTGCTGAATAGGGCACTCCTAAAATATGCGGGGTCTAGGTTCATATTCACTCTCTGACTCACCTCCCTATCAGGGTGAACCCCCCTTGTTTTGGATGGAATTTCTAGCTGGAGAGAGGCACCTCCTGCAAGAATCAATACTTTGGTGATGAGGGAATTATGCTGAAACGAATCATAACCAGGTTAAATATCTGCTCTGCCTGACTTGGAACAGGGAACTTTAACCTAGATTCCCATACCAGAGCTGAGTCCCTTAACTCTCAGCTATTGGCTATATTGGGAGAGATGTCTTTCTTTGAAGCAGAACCTCCTTGGAAGGGGAGAGAAAAGAGGATTACCCAAACTGATGGGGAAGTGATGTGGCAGATTCAGAAGACTTGCATCTGGCTCTGATGCATCCCAGGTGGGTGCCTTAGCTCTGCTACCCTGTTGGATCTTTCCATTTTGTATAAATAGTATTCACTGGGCCAGAAGGGAGGAGAGAGACTGAGACTATAGAGTCCAATGATCAGGGCAGTCACTTGAATGCAAGAAACCCAGGTTCAAGTTTTTGCTCTGCCTAATTCAGAAGATGCTGGCTGGCTATTGATGATTTTCTCTCTCTCTCTCCTATTCTTTTTTTTTTTTCTTTTTTCCTCTCCCCCCGCCCCCCCAAGATTAAAATATAAACGCATATCAAAACTTGAAACATCTTTATCAAACAAGACCTTCTTTTCTGGCCTGCCCTACAATTAATACAGTTTAAGAAGAATTGGTGAATGAACTTTCAAAGATCTAAGGCAGCCAGTGTGCATCACTGACACATTTAGATATGTAGTTAGACTTGGTCATCAAAGGGTTGGGATTGCAAAGTAATATGTTATGAACAGTAATGCAATGGGCTGTGAAGGTCACCTTTGAACAGAGAAAGGAAGAGTGACTTGAATCTCTCTTCTTTTTGTTTCACAGGCCAAGCAGTACCAGAATGTTAGATAGTTTATAAAATGTTTGGTAGAGCTTACTTTGGGTATAAGGAAATCTGAGCATTTCATTAGTCACAAAAGACACTGGAAGAAACTGTTCCTTTATGTTTGGTTGATGCCTTTGATGTTGTCAGTGAAAAGTATGGGGAATTTTCCTTGAACTGTGTAGTTTAGATCCACTGGGGAATATAGCATGGTAGCTTGATGCTTTTGGGGAAAGGTGAAACATTTCAAATTCTTCCCTTGATAAGTGGGATTAAGTGCTAGGAAAAGACAGACAAAAAGCAAGAGGATGAAAGGATTAGTTTCCCTCTTGCAATGAGAAGAAGGTAGGAATTGCTAATAAATATTCTGAGATTAGTGCATCCTTCTGGTCTTCCTATGCCTGCAGCACAACAATCTGGTTTGTACTGTGCATGCCTATATAGGAATAATAATACCACTATTGCTTGTCTAAATTTCATTTCCTGGCACTTGAACCCAACAAGGAGCCGATACAGTCATCTAGTTGGCTATGTTAAAACTGGCACTATTGAATTGCAAACAAATTCTTGATTGAATGCCTTAAAGGCCTGTAGAAGAGAGCTTGGCAGGAATTTGTGAGCTTCGGGAACAATATTTAGCTGGGTTTGGGACAGCATATACTGGGAGAACATATGTTGTGCTTTGTGCTACTACAGATGGAGAAACTTTGGCTGAGTCTGTCAACCGATGGGATTCTTGACCCATCCAGCAGTTTTTCAGTGTAGAAATTACAGAGTAATGATAACTTTGGCTTAGTCAAAGATAAATGCAAGAGAATACAGTATGGTATATGAATCATGGAAGGGTCTAAAACCCCCATCTCTGTAAGGATTTCAGGAGGTCCCTGAAAAGTGAGATGGTTGAGTCAAAGAAGAATACAGATGCACCAAAAATAACATCACTTAGCAGGGAGGGTAATTCATTGTTCCTAGTCTACAAAGGGAATAGCTAATATACATTTTGGTTATAGGAAAGACAGGGTACTACAAAGTTAACTTGCAAAATAACTTGCAACTGCAAGACAGAAATCATTGACAGCTTGGCATGGGAACAGTGGATATTGATTCTGTTTCTTTATACCTATACTCAATTTACAGAAACCTCAGATCTCAGCTAAGTGCAGTGCACTCATATTAAAAAAACAAAACAGAAAAATCTGGTTCATCTACCGTGATGGATCTATGAATAAGCATTTCTCCATGTTAGTGACCCAACATTTAGCCAAAGCTTTTAGTTACAGACCATTAAACGTTATTTTTTTATTTTTGGCATATCACTAAAGGAACAGTCTGTTCCTTTTTACACATTTTTATCCCACACCGTTTACATGGAATTGTTTATACTCTTTTTGTCTCAGTCACTCTACCCCAAAGCTTGTACAAACTATTTTCTCTGTCTCTCATGTTACTTCTTTAAGCTCTGTAATGGATTTACTTTAGTTTTAGTTTTTCTTTTCTTTTACTACTTTTAAATGTCATCTCCATGTCTTGTTCATAATGGATCTAAAATCTTCCTAGGTGATGTAGGGTATGGGAAAAGGGCTACATGCATCTGGGAATGGTGATACCTCAGTCTGAGGTGGTGGGGTGGGGGGAACATTGCACGGTGGCAGATGAGACCGAAACCATTTAAAAGAAGAGAGGAAAACACTGGCTGATTTAACTAAAAAAATGTTGAATCTGCCATAGCTGCCCAAAGTCAGTAAACTTCAGATTTTATGGTCAGTCTCATACAAACGTTTTCTCTATCTTTGATCCGTGTAATTTCACCTTGACTTTTAAGTTTGAATCACCCAGTTTGCATGGTCCAGGTCAGTGGAAGCCACAGAGTTCTGCTTAGATCTGTATCAAAGTGAAACTTGGAATTGTGCTTCAGTTTGACACTCAAGTATCAAGAAAGCCAAGTTTCCTTAGTCCTGGGAGCTTATTTGCTAGATAGGTTCACGTACTTGAGAGAATCTTGGGCTGATTTGTCAGCTTGTCGTGAAACCCATGCAAAACTCATTTCGCTTTGTCTTTGTATTTTCAGTGCAAAAGTTTTGCAGAGCTTTGTCAGTGGTCCTCTAGCTATCTGCTCTGCACTTACATTGACCCACAAGACAGTAAGGTTCTACCTACCTATAGTATATACTAGGCCTGTGTGAAGTGGCTAATATTTGCTTCGGATTCAAATCACTGTCCCAAATTGATTTGG